CCCCCCCCCCCCCAATCTGTTCCTTTTTCATCTCAGAATCAAGTAAAGACTGTGGTGACTCACCAGATTTATTAAGTTTACAGTTGAAAACTGGTGTTGAAAACAAAATTAAATCTAAAAAGGTCAAGTCAAACAGTCTGGCAGAAGGATGGAGATGGCCTCAGTACAAAACCATGGCTTTGCTAACAATATCCCAGGTCATGCCTTTCTGCTGGTCCAGGGAACACATTTTTAAGTAGAAAGACTGTAGATACTGCCTGGCCAGAGTGGCTCAGGGGTTGAGCAACCAGAGACAGAGGAATGAGCTAAGAACTTCCCTGACTTTAGAGCATCAGAAGGTTGCTAGATGTTTCATTTCAAAATCTGAAAATAATGGAAAGGGGTTTTGACTTACTTTCTCTAGGGGCAGGTCCTTTGAACTGGCTTCTGATGGGCAACAGTGCCATGTTTCCAATGAGTTTGGTGTCAGGGTCCATGAGAGAAGAGTGGTAAGCCTGTGGTGGCAAGCCAGGTCAGAATACAGAAGCAGGAGAAAACAAATGTTGGTGGGGCAGACAAGTACATTTCTCCAAAGGAATAGAAGAACAACCCACCAGATTAACTAGGGGATGTGGCAGAGGGGGTCGTGGGAGGGATGTGTAGAGCTGGCTCTTGCTGGCTCATGAAAACCAAATGTTAAATTTTTAGGAATTCTGAAAATTTTTGAACCAAGCTGGTTGTTGAACACAGCCATTATTAAAAATTAAATTATATAAATGTGCAATTATATTAAAAAGCAAAGGTAATACAGACTCAATATTCATTACTCCCTATTTTTAAAAATTATTTTACTGTTGTCTACGATCTTAAGGTTATTTATGTCTTCTGGCACATATACTATATAAAGGGGTACTTCTGTGCGTCTCGTCCAATTCCATATCCTGTGACATCTGGAGCTGGTAACTGGTGGGAGTACTTACACTACAGAAATAGGCAAACACTATATAAACCAGGGCCTACCCGCCCATCAGCTCTTGTTAAGCCAGAACCCAAGCACTGGCTTTTCAGTTCTGCCACTTCCTGCCTTTATCTCTGACCTAAGACATCACTTTTCTTATCTTAGCCTGTTTTCAAATTTGTAAAGTGAGGAGATATATACTGCCTTCAGCGGGTAGGTGTGAGTTAAAGGAAGGGGGAAAATCACATTTATGAGAACAATTAGTATGTGATTCCTAGTTCTGCCTGTTAACCAAAAAATGTCTGGGCCCCATTCATACATTCATTCATTCATTCACCAAACGATTATTAAGCACCTTCTAAGTGCAAGGCATGGTGATCTAAAGGTATGCAAGACCAGGATGGTCTCCATCCTTCAAGAACTTCAGGGCTAATGGAGAAGACGGAGGTTAAATAAATAATCACTGAAGGCAAGTCCAGGGTGCTGTATGTCCAACTGGAATGACTGGCTGTCAGAAATTAAGGGAAACCAGACCGCCACCAATTTTACTCCTACTCTGACGCACAATAAAATCGAAACGCTTGGAGACGGGGCGCGGACCCTGAGTTTGCCCTGGGGGCCCTAAACCCAAAGGCGCAGGTGTGGCCGCCACCGCGAGGGCGACGGGGGAGGAAGTGGGGTCTGACAGACGACGAGCAGCGGAAGGGACCCGCCTCCTGGGGTGGAGAAGGAAGTGGGATTTCAGAGAAAAGGAGAAGCAGGACCCTCGACTTGAAAAATGAAAAATAAAAGGCACAGCCCTTGGCTCTACTGAGGCTTTGGGGGCCCAGCCGGAGTCAGGGGGGTGCCGAAGGGGCCAAGACAGGCTCGGAGCTGGAGAGGAGGGCCCGGAGGGCTGAGGCAGCCTCGCCCGCACG